AACCCTCAGCGGAACCAGAAAGCTACGTTTCTCCGCAATAAGATTGTATAAAGCGCACGGAGACTCATATCGATTCTCGGAGTGCATGAAAGGGTTGAATCCTGGCCATTCAGCCGGGCATTCGGACCGAACATACGATGAACCTTGGAAGGGTCGATCGCTGGACTATCCGACCCTAATACGATTCTGCGGCGTGGTCAGTTGGTATCGGTCAGGGCCGCGATCACGGCTGAATTTTCTAAGTCGCGGTTGCGCACGGCGCATAAGAGCATGGTCGGGCGAACGCGAAAACGGTTCTCGTCCTTTCACTTCCACAAACGAGGCAGACACATCGACCTAATCGCGCTCGATAGCATCAGTGGCGTAAGTAAGAAAACGAACCTTTCATCCCTCCCTTCACCCAAGTGAGCTAAACGCAATTATATCATTCCAAACTCACGGCGCTTTCAGCGGGATCGCGTTAGAATTGACGTAGAAAATCATATCAAATCGAAGACCAATTCTGAGAAACGTAACAACATAAAGATATATTAAATCTTTCAGAAATAAAATATTTTCAAATAAAAAATGGTATAATTCTAGTTATAATGGCATTCTCGGTTTTTTTCTCGTATTTAATAAAATTATTATATTTAAATTAAATCACAAGAGAGACTGTTTTTTTATTACACTGATGACTAAATTTGTTGATTCAAAGACATATTATTTTATTTATTGCGACGGTTAACCGTGCCGTCAAATAAATATTAATTCACAAAAATTCACAAAAATATTTTTGTGATATTATTAACATACATTTAACTTGAATATATAAATAATTAAATTAAAGAAACCACCACGAACTGAACATATTTCAGTCAAGTTATCAGCTTTCTTTTTCAGTCTACTCCCGTTGTTTGTACCACAACTTATTTCGGATTTCGGAAAGATCTCGATCGATGAAAGGAAGCTCGCGCGTTTACAACAAACAGGAATCCAGGATTCCAGATGGATTAGGAAACCTCACGCAGGATCAACCACTTCTCAGGATTTCGCAAATCCTTCTCTAAACGTTCTCGCGTTCTCTACGCCATTGAACGGAGCAAGTACGGGAGTACGGGAGAGGCGAGCAGCACCGGGAGAGGATTTCTGGTGCAATGCACCTGTGAACTCGCGAGAGAGCATTGTGCAACAATTAGCGGTTGAGACGACCGTGCTGGCCGATGGCGAGCCACCGCGCTTCGTGCTCGCCTTCCTTCAGGAAGGAACGCGGCGTCCGTCACGCGCGAGAACGCCACACCGCCCAGCACAAAGGCAGAAATAAACAGACCAGCCGAGGATACATTATTCCCTTTTTTTAAGATATTCCCCTTACCCGAAAGAGATAGGGAAGGAGCAAAATTGTCCCCAACCCTCGGCTTGCCCATCCCACGTTTTAACTCCCTTATCGTTATCGAAAATGTCGTCGTAATTTAGAAGACTTGGGGTGACTTGCAAGCAAACTCCAATTAACTTAATTGGCGATTGGCTTATCAAGCGATAATATCTGTGCTACTTTGTTAACGTGGACGGGATAATTAATTTTTGTTACTTAACCCGGAAAGAATTTTTTCTTACTTTACCCGGAAAGAAAGATTAGATAAGAATGACAAATTATATAATTAAAAATTCTGTTTCAGGCTTTTCCAGACGATTAAATTATTAATTATTAAATAAAATAAACAGTGTATGATAAAACGTAGAAAAGATTAGCGCTTTGTCGAAAATTTGTTTAAAAATTTGGCCAGATGTAGGAAATAAATTTGTTGGTTCATCAAAATAATCATGTAAACTTTTATATTTTAGTATCCACTTCAGATGTGCAAAATAATTATTGCGATGGCTTAACAAAACAATTTTCAGATCTAAATTTTTAAATACCTCAGCAAAACCGTTCTTCCTGTGTACCAGTTACAACTAGTTATAACAGTGTGCTTTCCTGAGAATTAAAAAGTCGGGAAATTGCAGTACAAAGCACGAGGGACCTTACGAGCGAGTCTACAAAACAACGCGAACAATTACCTCGGCGTGAAGAAATGCGCGACCTTTTTACGCGATGTTTTTTTTTGTTTCACGATTAACTGCAACGCGTTCGTGAAATCTAAAGCGTCAAACGCGCATGCCGGTCGTAATTCAAGAAGTCACGTGAAACCCGTGAAGAACGGAATGAACAGGTCTGGAGTTGATTACGTACCTCTTGCTATCGCGCGCGTTTACGGCGAGAAACCAGCGAGGATCTACAAATACGACGCATCCGAGAGAGAGTCCCGACAGTTATTATACCCGACACGAGGTGTCCCTTAATTTAAGCATGCCGTAATTGAGCCATATAAAGTAATTTAAATGCTTAAGAGAGAATAAAGCTGTCACTTTGAATACAATATTACTTGTATTAAATGTCAGGTGCGAACGTGCGAAATTTCGATGTCAATTGCGGAAATTTTATATGCAATTTATCGATGTGGATTCGTGGAAAAAATGGGTTTTACTGGAGAATTAAAAATTTGACTACGAATCTGAAAATTATTTCGATAGCTCAACGGAATTATTTCAGATCTGAATTCGATCAAATTTTTAGATACTTCAGCAAAACTCTTCTTTGCGTAGGAATGTTGGAAGTTTCTATGCCGTTCGTGACAAGGAATTGCGAGTTTAATACTACGTTTAGTGGGATTCAACAGATAATAATTAATTTGACAAGTAATTTAAACTTTCGCCTTTGTTTTGGAGAGGATATATATTAAAATTTCATATATCGTAATTTTAATATGTGTGACAGACTCATCGAGTCAATGAGATCAAGCACTTTTGCAACTCGATATACCATAAGTCTGAAATTACAATGTCGAAGTTTGTTGATGAAGCATAGTAATTTAATCTCCATGCATGCAACTTTAATGAATTCTTTAAACATCGCGGTACCTTGCTCTCCGAAACGGCGTGCACCTTGCTATCACACAACGAATAGCAATTGCAATTTTTCGAGGAGGAACGGTATCGAGCATGCGAAACTTTAAAAAGGCCTCGCATACCAGACGCACATGTCGAGCGCATAAAAAAATTATTAATAATATTTAATCAATGTAATTGGCTTATCTTCGTTTCGCGTTAACTACCGGTTTCGCTCGTATCGAGCGAAACATGTGTTTCGACTTGTTTAGATCAGACTAAACACGCGATGCGAGCAAGTGCCATTTGGTACGGTTGAAAAATCGCGTATAAATTAGAGCTCGAGTAGTAAGAGTTAGAATACAAGTATAATCAAAATAAAAAAAATTAAATTGAAGATTGACATCGCAAATTAATTAATAAATGGCGGTTTTTACTATGTTATGTAAATTTGCATCAGCGAAGTATAAATTAAAAGATATATTTTAGACAAAAAAAAAAAAAAAAAAAAGAAGGAAATAACGCAAAGTAATTTTTATGTAATTTATTTCTCGGTTGTGAATTCTAATCTTCAGTCAATCTTCAATCTCCCACTCGCCAGTCTAACGTAAATTTATATTAAGGTTTGTTTTCTAATTTTGCATTATACTAAAACTGTTTCGCTTTTGTCAAAAAGCTTTAAATATCTATTTCATTTTAGTACAATGTATTTTAGTACGCTAAGCTACGAAAATAGATCAATTGATTACGACCGAATCGCGGATTTCTGATTTACAAATCACGCGGGAATTAGCGATTTTTTTATTACGCGAAGCAAAGCGTTGTTACAAAATAATGTTATGTCGGCGCGCGTGTATATAAACGCGTTTTACACCGTGCCTCGCACGGCTACGCAATCACTTCGTAATCACTTATGAACAACGAAAGTATAATATCTTGCACGATATACAAGATGATCTGTTATCGATGTTGCAATTGACGAGAATCGGATAATTACTTTGTAAAAAAATTAATAATTTGAGAATTCTGTTAGAATAAAATTTTGTTGCGCGAAACTTTTCTTCCAAGAGATTGTTATTTGAATAATTAAAAATTATTAATGAATTTTCTTCTTGTTTCGTCTCGATCATTATAATTTCGACAATTACTTTGCGCTATCTTTTTTTCTATAAAATATATCTTTTAATTTACATTTGACGCAATTGACGCAAATTTTAACATAAAATAATTAATTTTCGACATCAAAAATCGTTTTAAAAAAATCTTTTTTTACATTCCCAACTTTTCTTTTTATGCAATTTTTCGAAATTGTACCACCAGCAAACATCCGATTGTGCACATAACATCGTTCAAATTTGAACATAACGCAAAGTTATGTTATTAATTAATCTTTGACAGTATCATTAATCTTTTCGGCCGATCTCTCATACAAGTGTTATAATAATGTTCAGTTATGTGTCCAAATTTGAATCTAACGTAAAGCGTTATTAATTAACTCTTGACAGCATCAATAATTAATCTTTTCGATAAAACTCTCCTCTACATTCCCAATTTATGTTTTCAAGCGAGATCATCATTCGAAATCGCATCGTCAGTAATTGATCGACCTCACACACAATTATTATAACGTTTCGGTTACGTGTTCATATCGTTCAAATTTGAACCTAATGTAAGGCATTATTAATTAATCTTTCCGACAAAATTCTCTTCAACATTCCCATTTACTTTTCATGTGAGATTCATTCGAAATCGCATTGTCAGTAATCAACCGATCTTTCACACAATTATAACAATTATTATAACGTTTGATTACGTGTCCAAATTTGAACCTAATGCAAAGCGTCATTAATTAATTAATTAATCTTTCCGACAAAACTCTCTTCTACATTCCCAATTTATTTTTCATGTGAGATCATCATTCGAAATCACATCGTCAGTAATCGCCGATCTCTCACGCAGTCATCATAACACAGCTAAAACATCCGGCTGTGTATACACGCAGCGTCGGGTGTCCTGGGGCCCCACGTGTGCCTCCACGGCGCGGCATTGTCACGCGGAGACGCGAAAACCGCGAGTCTCGCTTTTTTGCTTACCTGACGCGTCGTCCTGAGCCAGGCTGTAATCCGCGAGACAGATGAGGAGGAACGCGGCACCGAACTTCACTAATAACGTCGCCAAGTTACCCATCTCTCCGAGTCGACATAATTCCCCGTTACGGCGGCGAAAGAGAGAGAGAGAGAGAAAGAGAGATCACAGCGCGGCGCCGCGTAAACTCATGATCGTCCCGTTACATTTGCAGTGACGCGCCACGCGGAAACACATCCACCCCGTTCGACGTTCGATGGCATACTGATCACTGATACCGCGACGCGCAGGGCCGCACTCTCGCGGTTGACGCACGGAAAATCGGCCCGTTGATTGCGCCTTACGACCATGGTGGCGCGTCGTACGCCAGAAATCATAGAGAAACCGTCAAATGAAAGTCTGGAAAAACAATATTCGGCTTACGATTGGCGTAGCCAATAAGATGCAAATCTATAATATATTTATGTCGTATCATAGAAATATTTAGCGGGAAATCTGGAAATTAATGATTTTTCTAGTAAATTTTTAGGAAAAAGAAAAACATTACTTTTTTTATTTATAATATTCGAAATAATTATCGTTTGTCAATATACATATATTATATAATAAAAAATAAACATATTTTAATATTTTTTATTCTATTTAAATTATATTAATTTTTCAAAGGTTATTTACATTTGATTGAATTTGTATATAGTTCATAAATAAAAATTAGAATTTTAATTCTTTATTTTTAATTTTTTGTTTTATATTTTTTTCATTGTGTCTAAGCCCTTCGGATTCAAATTCAATAATCCGAGAATAAGGAATAAAATATAAAAAATTAGAAAGAGAAAATTACTTTTAATTACTTTTAATTGATGAAAAAAAAGCTTGATATTTCTTATGTATTGAAGTATGATTTCCCTGTATTTAATTTTTTGTTCCTCATTCCTCTCATTGTGTCTGAGCTCTCACGTATGCGAACGAAGGGTGAGCAAGGGAGTGTGACGAACTCGACGCCATGTTAAATTACCGATCTTTAGGACAACTTCCGACTAAATTCCGATTAGTGTTTAATATATCAAACAATAGTACTACACCAATGCATAACTGATTCTTTTTATTTAACGCGTAAAAAGATTAGATTAGGGATAACGAATTGTGTAAACATTCTGGCGCAAGCGATTCTAACGATTGAGTTAATTACTGATTAATCGAAGTTTGGTCAAAGTCACTATTATATCAATATAAATTAACTTTAATCTTATTTTTTAGTCTTTTTCTAGTTTTAAAATAAAAAAAGATAAAAAGTAAATCAAAATGAGATTCAAATAAACAGACATTTATAAGATATCAGGCATCACTGATGAAAAGGAAGGCGAAATATAAATTCATACAGAATTGTTAGCGAAACAAAAAAAAATATTCTTTTTCTCTTTTTTTTCCATCGCTTTTTGAAAAAATTCCTTGACTGAAACGAACATAAAAAAAGTATATAAAAAATTTTATTAATTACAAATATACAATAGGAAATAAATAGAAGATGACAAAAGACAATATAACTTTTAATTACGTCTGCTAATGACTTTATAAATCGTTCATTATAAAATTGAAAAATATTTGATACTTTTTAAAATAATTTTAAACATTTTATTTAATAATTTTTAAAGAAGTAAAGCTTAAATTTAGAATTGATATAGTAATTTAATTTTACATTAATAAATTTCTTAATTTCTCAACTTTTTCCTAGATTTCCTAATTTTCTTAGATTATTTTGTAATCCTCTGACTTCTGTTTTGTTTTAATCATTAATAATCCACTACTATATCTTAAAAAATCAGCGATGAGCGTTTCTGATTTTTAGATATGTACATTGTATATACATACCTGATGATGGTCCAGTTTCGAGAGAATAATGTGGAAGATTACAATTAGACATGCGAAGGCAGCATCACAATTGCGACATCAAAGCGATCAATTACTGCATAATCCACTATTGTCGACATCCAACGCAACGATCATGATTTTTTTATACAATTATGAGATTCGTTCTAACAGTAAAAAAAATCGCGAGAGAAAGACAGATATCAGTGAATATTGTAGCGATGCGTTCCGCGATTCAAAATATAATTTAATATCTGTCAAAGTAATATCTGTCATTTTCAAGGTATCAAAGTCGAATTATTTGATCCGAAAATATGGAATCGGAAAACGGTAACGAGAGTGAATTTCTTAAACGCGTTTAAATTCGTGCGAATTTCATAGGAATTGTTTATACTTTGTCGATTTATATAATGAAATATTTTCCATTAATAAATAACACTGTTTTCGCGCGAATCATTGCCCTTATTACTATAAAAATCGTCTGTCATCATTACAATGTTACAGCGGCCATTATCGGAATTATAATTAGGAAAACTTTACCTACAATTAGCTTACAACACATACACACACACACACACACACACACACACACACCACCCCACCCCCACCACACACACACACACACACGCGCGTGCGCGCACACATATCGTGTTTTATTATTTATTATATTTATATTACACAAAGATGTATATTTTTTTCTCTCTTAATCGTATTATTGTATTGATCTTCAAATACAATTCGCTGATTTCTCTACCATTCCGTATTATTAAATAGAATTTAACCAATATCTTTCTTAATAATTATTAACATTAAACCAGGTCACAAAAAAAAGAAAGAGATGAGTACATCTATCCGACTCGAGAAAAAAAAGAGAAATACACAGGATAGACAAAAGTCAGAGAGAGAAAAAGAGAGGAGTGGAGAAAGAGAGAGACAGAGATGGAGCGGACGAAAAGATGGGAGAAAAAGAAACATAAACTCTAAAACGAATTAGATATACTTAAAGTATACGTACGAAGATCAGGAATAAAGAGATACCTAATCCTCTTTTTTCACTCTCTCTAACAATAATGCTCTCTTTGCTGCTGCCAATTTATATGGCGACCATTGGCTGTCGCGCTATTCTTTTTTACGCCCGCATATGACGCGACAATTTTCTCCGTTTTTATTTTACAGATATTCTTTCTTTCATGTTTTGTTTTTTCTTTTATACAAATTACTTAGGCATCGTGATATTCAGGTTTCACTGCGCTCGACCATTCTCTCGTCTTGACGCCTCACGCCTACGTCCCTCACTCGTAATGTGCAATTTACAAGCCGCAAGTACGTCTCATTTATACTTATTATAATTGTTGAAATAATTATTATAATAAACGCGACAAACGCTTGTCCCGCAGCGTGAATTTTGGCGTCGCGGCGCGCACGACTCTGCGTAAGAGCGAGGATACGGGCAGGCGGGGGGGAGGGGGAGGAGGGGGGATTCCCAGGGGATTTTTCTACAATCTTGGTGATGCAATAATCTGCCCTTAGACCTTACCTATTCACTAGACGAGCCTAAGTGACAATGTACACAACGCTATATCACTACAAAAGTTCTACTGTACACGATGACGCACACCACGTATCCCTCCCGCATCGACGTAGAATCGTACGGTCGACGACGAAAGAACGAAATATATGGAATATATCTCGTTCGCCCACACGCCATCTCACTCAGGGAATTTGTCTCCTTTCATCCTTTCCTTTTTTCATTCTTTGTATCACAAGTAATGATTAATATTACAATTACCTCGTCTAAGATAAAATTTTGTTTCCCTTTCATACACAGTTGTAGATTATAAGCGTTTCGTTTACAATTCAATCTCTCTCATTATATATCTCTCTCATTATATATCTAAGTAGTAGATTCCTTTTTTTGGCTGTATTTGTCTGTTTTATACAAAGACCACCTTTAATGCCAAGGAGTGTCGAAATCATCTCGAAAGTCTCGCGAAAAGAAAGTTAGGCTTTAAGTATTTTTTTTTTCCTTTCAAGTATGAACGTGTCATTTCTTTTATTACTATTTTTTAAAACAGAATTTTAGTTTCTAAATAAAATGTTTTCAGAGATAGTTTTTTTTTACATTTGTCACTACGCACTATGTATGTACAAAGAATCTTTCTTACATTCAGTAACTTTATTTTCGTCTCTGAATATATAGTTACTATTTAAAAATGATTATATCTAATTTATCGTACTCTGTGCTGTGTGGGAGAAGTGACGGCTATTTTCAATATATATATATACTCAATCTGTGTGGTGTGTGTATGTATATTTTATACATATATTTATATATGTATATACATATATTATATATACACATATGCATAAATATACATATACATATATAGATACATGAGAAATGTAAAAGTGTATATATGTATATCTCTATATTTTATATATATATATGTATACATATATGTACACACACGCACACTCATTTATATAATATATATGTATATATACTTTTTTCTCTACGCAAATTAATGTTATATAATATATATATATATATATACATTGTATCTTTCTATATAATATTATTTTTATACAATTTTCTTGATCTTTGCTAGTTCTCCCTGACGTAGTAAGAGAATCGCTCGTTAATAATTCTTACATTTGTCATAGCAAAAAATTTGCTTTTCTTACATATAAAATATAATGGGGACGATGATGACGACAACAAAGATGACAGCAAAGATGACGACAATAAAATATTAATATGAAAAAAGAAATTAATATAAAATATACATATATAAATCATCGATATAATTATTACAAATTACGCAATAATGCGTAGCTAATTTAATTTAATCACTAACAATAAATTCATATGTGGGACATTAGATCTGAATCACTGGTTTCACGACCGTACAGATGTGTTAAAGATGATAAAGTGACGGTGAATGTGACGCCATACAAAACATATTAATGCCGTAAGATGTGTTCTTTGTTACATTACATTAGATACAGCGGTACTAAAAAAAAAGTCTTACAAGTGTTCTCATTTGTAATCATCTCACTCGATACGAACACAAAAATATTTTTCTTTAACAAACTG